CACAGTGTATTCTTTCAATATGCCACTAGCTTTATTTTATTTATTTTAGCCACGCCACGTGGCTTGCAGGATCTTAGTTCCCCGACCAGGGATCGAACCCGCGCTCCCTGCAGTGGAAGCAAGGAGTCTTAACCACTGGACCACCAGGGAAGTCCTGCCACTAGCTTTAAAGTTAATATTTTACCTATGCATTCAAAAACAAGAATAGACTAAAAGGTATCTGCTTCAGATTTTGGTGACAGGGTTATGAATTTTAGAATTACATAATCTTGTTTACAAAATTTAACTGAATTTTTTTTTTTTTTTTAAGCTGTACGCAGGCCTCTCACTGTTGTGGCCTCTCCCGTTGCGGAGCACAGGCTCCGGACGCGCAGGCTCAGCGGCCGTGGCTTACGGGCCCAGCTGCTCCGCGTCATGTAGGATCTTCCCGGACCGGGGCACAAACCCGTGTCCCCTGCCTCGGCGGGCGGACTCTCAACTGCTGCGCCACCAGGGAAGCCCTAACTGAATGTTTTATAGGAAGTGGTGTTGATTAGTTTCTAAGCATATTGTTATGGATTTCTGCTTTTGACTAGACTTAGGCATAAGGTTTCCAATGTTTTGTTACCTTTCTATCCTTGACATTTACTGCATCTCAGTATTAATTTGAACCTTGCCAAAATTTAAAATATTTGCTTGATTTCATGAGGTAAGCTTCAAATAGTCATAGGGCCTTCCCTGGCGGTCCAGTGGTTAAGACTCCACGCTTCCACTGCAGGGGGCGAGGGTTCAGTTCGATCCCTGGTCGGGGAACTAAGATCCCACAAGCCTCACGGCACAGCCAAAAAAGTGATGGGTAAGTCAAGTCTGTTCATGTATTGGAAGCCAGCTGGACAAGCAAACAGTAAATGAAATATGAGTCTTAGCTTCGTCCTATGAAGTACTGGGGTCACTTCACATTTATTAGCTCACTTCTCAAAACAATCCTATTATGCACTTTACAGGGAAGGAAGCGGAAGAGGACAAATTACTTGTCTCGGGTCACATGGCTAGAGGTAGTACCTGAAGCTAAAGAATGAAATTACAAGTAAGGGTTGATTTAATTACCTCAAACTGTTGGGGCTTCAGAAGACCTCAAACTTTAAAAGCCTATGTATCTGGAGCCTGCAACACTGCAATGTTTTTCAGCTTTTAAAATCACAGTATTACCTCTAGCTGTGGCATAAAGTAAGTGTTCAAGAATAAAAGTCAAAGGAGCAGAATGTTTACACATTTTTAGATGCAACCTTTCTCAGAATGAACATGGTATAGTTGGGAATGCATTGGGCAAGGGAACTAAAGGCCTGGAGTTTTTCCATTTCAGCTTACATTAAATGTGTGATGAGATCTCTGGACCTTGGCCTTATCTTCTCTGAGGATACTTCCTGCTTATCTACTTGACTCCGTCTCTTTCCAGACAAAAGAGGTCAGGCTGTTACTGCTTAAAAAAATATGAAACAAACTATGGCTAGCACTCTATTGTTTTCTTCTTAGTTTAAAACAAACACACTAGTTTGTAGAATTTTATATTTTGGGCCTGGGTAAGCACCTTCTATTTTAGATATATTCAAAGAATTTGTGATTTACGAACACTGTACTAAACACTATTTGTATGAGAATATCACCTTTGCTTTTAACCTTTCATGTCTGATCTCTCAATTTACACTATTTTATTTTTAATGGGTAATATTCATGTTTTTGGTCATTATTTATCCTTTTTTTAAATGTTACTATATCCACAGCTCATCTGCTCTCAACGAGTGGCTCACAGATAGAGCAACATTTTAGCCCAATCTTAAATCACTGAAGAGACAAAAGGAGTTAACTACAGGTGTAGTCAAAGAGATACGAGAAAACATGGTATTATCAAAACATGAAGGGACTTTCTTGTGGCTTTGGCAAAGTGTGCTCTATTCTTGACAGATGACGCCAGAAGGGTAAGGAGCATACAAAGTTACAGAAGGGCACCTAACGCCAGAGTAAACAACTTGAATTTGGCTGCATAGGCTTTTAGGGCATTAAGAAGCCATTCACAGTTTTTCAGCAGGGGTCAAGTGCCCAGGTATGTTACAGAATTCTGATGCTGGCAAGTATAATGGCTCAGAGGAGAACTGAGAGGCAGGCTACGGCACCATCCAAAAAAATAAAGCCAAACCAGGGCAGTGACAATGTGAATGCAGTGGAGAGGGCAAGATGTGGTACTATTTAGAAATAGACTAGACGAGACAAAAGTGCTGAGGGGGATGGAGATGAAGCAAAAATCAAGGACCTATGAAGGCTTGGATAGGTGCTTTCAAATAAAAGAACAGAGAGAATGAGAGAAGCGGCTGTGTTCCATTCTAAGCACTTGGAGGCAACAGTGGAACCTCCAGACAGATATCCATTAGACGGCTTAAAACATGGACCTGATGTCAGCAAGGAGGTGGAAGCCTGAGATAGAGGTCTACCACCCATCTAGTAGTTAACTGCCCAGAATGCTTAGAAAAGTCCTAAGGACTAAACCCTATGGAAACACATTTAAGGGACAGAGGAAAAAGAACAGTCAGAGGTAGGTCAAGAAATAGGGATGAGCAGGATCCCGGAAGGAAGAGTTCAGGATAGGGGAATATACTGGATCGTCAGTGCCAACTCTCCACCAGACACATTATGGATTTGTCTCTCCCCATCAGAAGACCCACGAGGGCAGGGACCTTCTATCACTGCTGTATCTGCAGTGCCTACAGCAGTGCTCGGCTCACAGTAGCTAGTCAACAACAACTTGCTGAGTGAATAAAAGATACGGGTTGGTTCTTCTTAAGTGGTTACTGAACGTCATAATTAGAAGGCACTGATAACATAAACCAGGGCCACTTTCTGGACACCCACCTCCCTACCCCCTTACCCTGTCCAACTCTATCTAAGCAGAGCACCACTGGGAGTCTGTCTCCCAGAAGAAAGAAGAATGTTCACATACAGTGAGTCTACCTTTTAACTATGTGATACAGGTTTTTTCATGTGTAGGTCTCATTCACCTTTTTTTTTTTTTTTTTTTTTTTTGCGGTACACGGGCCTGTCACTGTTGTGGCCTCTCCCGTTGCGGAGCACAGGCTCCGGACGCGCAGTCTCAGCGGCCATGGCTCATGGGCCCAGCCGCCCCACGGCATGTGGGATCTTCCCGGACCGGGACACGAACCCGTGTCCCCTGCATCGGCAGGCGGACTCTCAACCACTGCGCCACCAGGGAAGCCCTCATTCACCCATTTTTGATGGAAGTCCTTGGTAGGCATCGTCTTTATGCTGGGCACCTCTAGGAGACTTTATGAAATAGCTAGAGGCTATAAAAGCTATATAGAATATCTGAACACAAAATTTTAGATTAAAATGAACCTTATGAGTTATGCCAAATGAAGAAGTCACCCCAACATTTATCTGTTTTATGAGTTTTCACATTTGCTTTAAAAGTAACATACCTTGATTTTTTACAGCTCCCATCCCCACCATAGTGCTGGCAGGTTTCCAACTATATGTAGAAGGTAAAAGATCAGACTGTAAACTACCAGATCTTGTGATGAAGAGCCCCAAACAGAGCCTTGCAGTTTCTGAGGCAGAATCCTACCCAGACAGGTGAGCTGCTTGGATCGTGCATCCTTCATCAGGCCATCTCAGCCAGGCTCAGCTCTCTTCACCCATCCATCAGGCCAAGCAAGACTTGTAAAACATGCACAAATGCCTAGCACATTGTAGGTGCTAAGTATTAACTGACTGCAGGCCTGAATTCTTCCTTCACAGCATGACTGTAACAAGAATCCACCTCTCTTCCAGCTTCATTCAGATCCTCAGGGCTTCTCTTCACTGAAGCAGTTCTTAAGGTTCCACATCCCTCAGGAAGTCTTCCTTACTTCCACACATGAATGATCCCTTCAAGCCTATTATCTCTCAATGCAACAGGCTTTGCATCTCCTACTTACTCAAAACTCCACAAAGTGTTATTTGCTACACGGGTATTTGTTCAATGACTTTCTGTATTTAGTCATCATTTTTCATTGCTAAACTCACTTCGTATCTCATTTGCATCACAGTTCTTCATCCTGGATTGTAAAGTCAACAGGCCAGGGCGAACCTGTTAGTTATGATTTACAATGACAGGCATGGTGTCACAATCAAAGAGCTCTGGGTAAATGCTTGTGGTGAAAGAGGATGAGGATGGAGATGGAGATGAGGGTCCTGAGGAAGGGTCCAGACAGGCTGCCCGACCCATGGAACCTGAGGCCTGAATAAGGCCTGGGATCTGCTTTCCCCTCTGCCCTGAAGGGTCCATCTATGGGCAATTCTAAGGCACAGTGGTGAAGGACGTGATTGGCCCACCAAGCGCGGTCCTCTGGTCTAGTGGCAGCCCCTCGCCTAGAACACAGTGCAACAAGCATTCCATTTAGAAGATCTTCCTGAACACATGCAAGCAGCATTCGCTAATGGAAATGGAGACAAGGTCTTTCTTGGAAGAGAGTGTCCCAGTAGACACTCTGCCCCAAGACCAACCAGGTCCCTTTAAAGGTCCCTGAGAACAGCAGCCTGGGAGCAACCAAGTCTTTCAAAGGCTGACAAGGCACAGAGTGGATGAATGAAAAGATAATAATACATGGAAAACAACAACAACAACTTTGGCTTATAAAACCTCCAACTTGAGGCAGGGACATCAGCGTCCATCAACATGCAAAACTAGATACGATCGTAGCAGATGGTTATCAGAAATGCTTTAGCATTTCCTACACTGCCCACATCCCTGGCCCTCAGCCCCCGGGCCACACACACACACACACACACACACACACACACACACACACACACACACACACACTGCAGAATAAGTCAGAGGTTGGCATCCAGAGCCTGATGTCAGGATAGAACTCTTGGCACTCTGCACTAAATCACTGTGATTAGTCCTATCTAGACAGCGAAAGTAACACTGGCCTAAGCTTGAATGGCAGGGTCTGTCCAGTGAGGAGTTAGGCTGCACCCAAGACTGCCAGGTCTGGAAAGTCTTTCACTTCTCCTACTTCGCTGAAAGGCTGTCCACCCTGGTTGAATGTCAGCTTATACCGTAACCGGATGGGCTCCTGAGCAAAGATAAAAGATGTTATATTAGTGGGGAGTGAACACAGAGACAGGCCCAGAGTAAAAGCCTTTACCCACCCCGTAGTCACCAAGTAACAGTATATGTATGTTAACTCCACCCAAGTGAGGGCTTCAAGCAACTGTATGACAGGCATACCTTGGCCTTGACCCTCTGGGACTACAAACACAAAGGGAGCTAGGCTTACATCCTGGGAGTCCTCCCACGCTTCTGCAGTCCTGGAGACCAGCTGAGAGGACAGACTGGCCTCACCCTTTCAGAGGATTCCATGGGATTAGAGAGAGACCACTCCCTTGGTCCCCAGCTATGACAATCTGGTCACAGATCTTTCAGTAAGCCCCAAAGGAAAATGGACTCTGGCAAGGGACATTCTACCACCATCCCAACCAAAGCAAGACCTCAATATACCTCTCTCCACCTGCCCAGCTGCCTCCCTAGAGTTCAGGGGCCCCCATTTCCCTGCTACCACAGACACCAGAACATACTTTGTGTGGATTGTCAAGCAGCAGCATCTGAGAGATCACTGCTGGAGGCATCAAAGGACTGAAAGCAGGAAGCTTGGAGCTGGACGCTGGCTGTAGTTTCACTCTCATTGACTATTGGGGGGAAGAAGAATCCAACATATAACTCATTCCTAACAAACTACAGCTTTAATGAGGGAGATCAGGTGAACAGGAGAGCCTGGCCTCCACCCCACCAACTGATGAAAGGATCCAAAAACCCTTCCACTCATACATGGAATGTAGCTGAAGTTGTGTGATCAAAGGTTGGCTTCTGAGAGGCAGCATGAAGAGTGAGAGCATATCCTGAGTTGGATTCTAACTCTGCCTCTTACTATCTCTGTGATTTGGGGCAAAATATTTAACTTTTCTGAACCTTGGATTGATAATTTAATTTATAATATAGAGGTAATAATAGCACATGCCCTACAAAATTACCATGAGTATTAGAAAACACATAGTTTATTTCTGTCTGCTTTGAATCCTTCCTTTCAGGACAGGCCCCTTGCCCATTTCTTGTGATTCTGGTATGGCTGTTAATCTGTGGGGAGCTACTACCCTCGAGAAAAAAAACATAACATGCAACTTGGCCAGAGTACCTCATACCCCTTAACCCCTTACTGGTCCAAGGTATGCAAGTAATACCAACAAGGCCAATCCTAGCCCTTCCTTAGGTAATCGATATGCATGCCTCATGTCAGGGGAGAGAGTTTCCTTCTGAGATAAAAAGCGATAAGGACCATGTAACTCTGGAGCTGCTGGTAACCATTTTCCTGCTCGGTGGAGGGAGTCTATGAGAGAACAGGGTCCAGAGAGGAAAAACAAAGTCAAGAGATGGAAAGTGACAGATCCTTAAGGAACTGTTTAAGAATTTACCTGAATCCAGCCATATCTGAAGTCAGACGTTCAGGGATCCTCAGTTAAATGAGCCAACAAAACTCCCATTTTATCTTAACCTACTTTGAGTGAAGATTCTAGCCCTTCCACCTAATAGATAACATCCCAGCAAAGGACCTGGTGCTCAAAAATGATAGCCTTTATTGAAAAATTCAAAGGAGCGGGCCAGCCGCTGACTCACCTTTGGCACAGCTACTTGAAACATGATGTCCCAGACAGGCTGGGTGGCCGTGCTCATCATGGTCAACAGTAGCACCTGTACCTCTGGGTGGCCAGGGGCCCCAGTCTGGGAAAAGTGGAGCAGAATTCTGAATCCATTCCGGTCATACACGATAAGAGGAGGCAGGTTGCCTGGTAGAGAAGGACCCGACCAAAAGGATGAGCACTGTTACAGACTCCCCTGAAAGAGCAGCCATGCTTCAAAGAGATGTGCACCTATCACCAAATCCTGTTGCTTCTCCAGGAATTAACCCTCTGGAATTAACCCTCTGCACCACCATAATCCAAGTCTCGTCACCTCTAGCTGGACTCCTGTGACATTCCAAACTGATCTCTCCCCTCCATCCAACCATCCAGTATCAGTTTAAGAAAAAAAAACAAACATTTTTTTGAGCAAGAAATGATTACGATTAAAATAATGTATGAACACTATAGAAAACACAGGATACCTTAAAAGAGAAAATAAAAAACACCCTTAATACTCCCCAGAAATAAGCACTGCTAACATCTGGGCCTATATCCTTCTGGTTTCTCTCGTATGACTACATACACATAACAACTCTTATATTTAATTTTACAAAACTATAAAGACAGTAGATCTCTTCAAATTAATTAGGTCTTGGAAATATTAAAGGGATTGTTCTAGTTTAGCTAAGAAATGATTCGTAAGTTAATTTTGGGAAAAGATACGTTAGACTAACCATTAAAAAAGAAGGGAGAGTAGGGCTATTTGCGTTAACAAATACTCAGATATGTATGAAATTGCAATTGAAAACAGCATGCAGAACAGACCCAAATATGAGAATTTAACATGTCAAGGGCATATATTTGAAAATCACTGGCTGATTCAATAAATGGCAGGCAGCTTGCTAACCAACTGGAAAAAATTTTAATGAAGATCCTTATTTCATGCCAAACATCACTTATCAAAATGCACATTATAAAAATATAGCTTAACAATGAAACTGTCGGAGATTTAAAAGACTGAAAATACTCATGAGGTATGGAGGTGAGGTTATGGGGAAAAAGGCAACCCTTCCAGGAAGGAACTTGGTAACAAAGATCAAAATTTTTTTTTTTTTTTTTTTTTTTTTTTTTTTTTGTTTTAGAACATTTTTAGCACCTCCAAAACAAACCTCATATTCGTTAGCAGTTAATTCTTTTTTCTTTTTTCTTTTTTTTTGGCGGTACGCGGGCCTCTCACTGTTGTGGTCTCTCCCACTGCGGAGCACAGGCTCCGGATGCGCAGGCTCAGCGGCCATGGCTCACGGGCCCAGCCGCTCCACGGCATGTGGGATCCTCCCAGACCGGGGCACGAACCCGTGTCCCCTGCATTGGCAGGCAGACTCTCAACCACTGTGCCACCAGGGAAGCCCTAAGATCAAAATTTTAAATGTCCACACCCAGCATTTCCACTTTTAAGCATATATCCTAATGAAATAATCAGGAAAGTTTCAAAAATGGATCTCCATTTTTTGCAATGGGTGTTCACTGTAACACTGTTTATAACAGTAAACAACTGGAAACAAATTATCCTTCAGAAAGAAACTGAATAAATGAGTTACAGTACATGTTAGTGCCATAAGAATGAATTCATTTTTAAAAAAATCAAGGTTTTGAAGAATAAGGGCATGAAACAATGCTACAGCTTAAAATATTAAATAAAGCAGGATATAAAACAGTATATATACTATGGTGACAATTTACTAAACATACGTACATGGATAAAACAGGAAAATACATCAAGACATTAACAGAACTTGCATCTCTGGGTGGTAATGGTACAGATGATTTTAATTTTCTGCTCTATTCTATCTTTTCTAAAACTATATTGAATTTTGTTTTTAATTTTGTTTTTTAATAATTTCAGATTTACAAAAAGTTACAAAAACACAAAGAATTCCCATGTACCCTTCACCCAGCTCCCTCAAATGTTAACATTATATATAACTACAGTGCCATTATCAAAACCAGGAAATTAACAATGAACATTTATTATGTTTAAATAAAAATTAATAAAGTAAGTATGCAAAGGGCCCCCACTGCTGACTTTATTTCCTCTGCCTGGTTCCAGGGCCCTCTGTAATCTGAGCTCACCACACTGAGCCACAGGAAGGCCCTGTGCCCAAGGAAGGGGCCCAGGCCCTAGATCTAAAGACCCCAGTTGTTTCCCGCTCACATACCAGTGTGCTGACCACAGGCAGTCTCACCTTACTTAGCTGGGCCTTTCGTTTCCTTTTCTTTGTAAGGGAGGTTAATAGCTACTTTTCCTGCTTTAATGAGGATCATTAGAAAGGAAGAGGATCACCAGTCAAATTCTTCCTTTCTTTCTAATTCCACCTCTTCTGAGTTATTTCAGATCACACTGAACATTCCCTTCTTGAATTCCAAATGAAGATCATCTCCATAAGTGGATTCAAGGCCCCTAATTAAATTCCGCCTGCCAATATCCTTCAGTGTCAACTCCAAGACAGAGAAAACTAAAAAAAGTATTAGCTAAGCGACATGGGCCACCCGCCTTATCCTGTCCCCAGGCAGTATCTCTCCCCCGCTCATCTTCCCCAGTTTAAGAGCCACCCATACCAATCCGGAGTGGATAAAGCTGGGCATCTACCAGAAAGGGGAAAAAAAAGGGTGAAACTGTACTTACTGGGCTTAACAGACTCCAAAGGGACAAACACTTGAGCCAGAGGTGTATTCTGGGAAGACGGAGAAGAAGCCAATGGGCCAGCCTCCCAGGACCAACCTGGAGAGGACTTAGTACCTGGTGGCACTTCCCTGGGGATACTTTTCTGCGGAATATAATTCCTGCAAAGAAATAATATCAAGACTGGCAAAAACTGTAGAGAATTCCAGGAATCTGATTAGGTTTTGTGAAAAATAAGGGGAAGAAAATAAATATATATGTATGTGTATATGTGTGTATGTATATATTTTACGGGTGTATGACTTTAGACAAGTAATCTAACCCATGCCTCAGTTTTCTTACTGTAAAATAGAAACAGTTTAGTACCTATCTCATAGGCTGTTACAAGAATTAAATGAGCGGAATGTGTGCATACAATAAGGACCCAATAAAGTAATTAATGTTGTAGTTGTCAGGCAGTCTCTGACAACAAGTAACTCAGTCAGACGAAGTTTCCCATACATGATGACCAGCGTGACATAAGCTAGGAAGATGACAGCACAAGTTACACTGACCACTTCATTCATACTTCATGATTTTGTCCATTTGGAATACAAATCAAAAACATTTATGGAAAACCAAACTCCAGACGTAAGTAACCCACCAAAATTAGAATTATTACTGACCCCATGTCAAGTGGTTATAAACAGTAAACTAGGAAGAAACCCCCTACGGGTACTAACGAGAATGACCTCCCAGCACATCTCCATTTCCACCCAGCTCTGTGGTCTCCACCAGGGACACAGGCTCTCAGGCTGTTTGGGGGAGGGCAAAGTGTTCCAGCCTTGCCAGAGGCAAAGGGACAGGATCTATGAAAATATGTTTATACTCATATCTAAGAGCACCTCTACTTTTATAAATCTGTACTATAGAAACACTCCAGGTTCCTCCAACCTGGAAGCTATGTAAATATCCACAAGAGGGAAATGATTAAATATATATATTATATGTATATGAATTATTATTCAACTATTAGAATGAGGCAAGTTTACATAAATTGATGAAAATGTATCCAAGATGTGTGATATAAAAAACCGCAGTGGAGTACAGTTTGTAAATTATAATCTCATTTGTGTAAAAATAAGCCACACTAACACATTACTACATGTGTAGAAAAAAAGCAAAGAAGGACCATTCAACACTGTCTTTAGAGAGTGATATTTGGGCCTTTCTATATTATCTATTTCTCTAGTAATCAAACTTTGCTTCAAATTACACTGAAATCAGGAAAAAAACAAAAAAAAACAACCTATAAAGACAAAGAACATCATCATCATCTACTGCTGTTGCTCCTTAAACCGCGTTTTGGAGGTCCTGGCCAAACGTGTACTTTCCTGACTTAGGATGCGGAATAAAAGGAGCAGCACACACTGAACTCCGACAGAAAGGAGGCGACCCTTCAGGGAGAGCAGCATCCCTGGGCCCCGCCGCGTGGCCTCGCGCAGTGAGCGAGCACTGCACACCCGAGCCACTCTTCTACTCTCCTTGCCCACGAGACTCACAGAGGCCCCAGAGACGGCTGTGGGGAGAGGAGATCCAGCAAGTTCCTTTCTGCAGAAGGGCTCTGAACACCACCACCCGGCAGTGTGCTGGTGGTAGGGTTCCTCTTTTCCTGACCGCAGTTCTGACTCGCAACCTGTCAAAACCAGGAATGGCTAAAGTAAGGCCAGGGCATGAGTGACTATGAGCCATCGTGACATCGTGGCATAGTTCTGCTGACCCCAAAGCCCAGGCTTACTACATTTCCTGGGGCAGGTGGAGAAAGGTCAAGAGGACATGACTCCTCAGCAGACCTTTAGTAAAGCAGGAGCCTGGATACAACAGAAAAGGGTAGGGAAGAAGGGGAGCAAAACTCCTCCAGGGGTTCAAGCCAGACAGCAGAGGCTTGGAAGAGGCTTTGGACCTCCGAGTCCACAGTGCCACCAGGCTATGCTGTAGCCCTCCACCCTCCCCCAGGCAGTGCTGCCCTCGTGAAGGTAGGTTTGAGGGACTTCCCCTCTCCTCTCTGGTCCCTAGGAAGAGCTTCCTTACCTTTTTGGTAACTGGGCCATCACTGATCCCTGTAAAGAAGGAACAGAGTGAGATGCACATCAGTAGCTCTACCTGATATGAATTGGAGACTGATACCATCATCCTTTCTAGAACATTTAGAAAGCCTAGACAAAACAAATTACCCAAAGTCATTCAACTCATTCATGGCAAATCTGAAACTGAGTACAAGGAGGACCTCTCTGAACTTCCCAGTATACCCAATTCCTTCTAAAAACAGGCACATTCTCACCAGGGGGAATGGGCTTACTCTCTCCCTGGGAATCAGGACCATTCTGTGCCTTCTGCCCCTAAACAGCACCCTCACCTAAGGCTGCCAGGTCCTGATGCAGTAAAGACGGCGCCACAGTCCCAGCCTGCTTGGATCCACTGTCCACCTCCAAGTCAATCAGGGGGCAGTTCTTCATGCAGCCTGTTGGATTCTGAAAGACTAGAAAACAGACAGTTAGGAAAATAAGTCAGTCAGCATAAGAGCAAAGTCTCCACTTAAAGGTTATCAGTTTCCCTCAGGCCTCCTCCCAATCAAAAGACATCACATCACCCCACCCTTAAGCACACCCCAGAGGAACCTTCCACCTCAGCTGACTGGCTTGACTTACAGCCTTGAGTGGCATCTGAAATACAAGGTGACAAGAGGAACTGCCTTCCCACCCCAGTAAACACAGAATCCTCTAACGGTCCATTCAACCTGGATAGCAGCAGAGCTGACTGCTCCAGGTCAGAGGCCTTTGAGGTTGTGACCACACTGAATCAGAATCATCTCGAGTGCTTGATAAAAATGCGGGTCCCAGCTCTAAGTAGTCTTGATTCAGAAGGTCCAGGAATCTGCATTTTAACCAGTGCTCCAGATGATTCCGATTTAGCTACTGGCACTAGGAAACACCTGAAGGTGGTCATATTTTTTTTGGTGTGAGCTCCCGTAAGTAAGCACTCATGAGAGGTGCAATCCAAACCTGGGCACGGTACAGCCACTGCTTCTGTTTACAGCCAAAGCTAGTTCCAGCCTAGCAGTCAACCCGTGACGGCACGTGGGGCAGAGCCTGGCTATATAAAACCAATTCTCAAGGGAAAGGGAAAAGAGGACCTGCTCTCTCATTTCTATACCATAACCCAGAGCGTTCAGGGACCCATTTCTTTCCCGGTGTTTGCAGGCTGCCCCCGGCAGAGGGTGGGAGAGGCTCTCTGCACATACCTCTGGAGACAGGTATGTCTCCCAAAGAGCTGACCACTGTGCTCCCAAAGGTGACACGGCCCTCCATCACCTGTTTGTACAGCAGAACTCCCTGGGTGAGGAGGTCATTTGCCTGGAGAACCTCCGCTGAAGAATGAGAGAAAAATCAGAATCCCCTGGTCTAGCTACCAACAATCTCAGTCTTTTTTAAGCCACTCCACAAAGCAGCTGTCACACGGCTCTACCAGGTTCAGTATATCCACGCCTCCTGCCCCCAGATCGCGAGCTCAGTCCCCTGGCACACCCAGTCACTCAATCCCTGAACCTCAACACTTTCTTCGCAGGATGTAGGAGGAACCAAATTTTTTCACTTTCTCTGTCTGTACTGTCCAATATGATGGCCAACACTTGAAATATGGGTCTTTCAAGTGAGGAACTAAAACTTTAATTTTAATTCAAAACTTAAAGCTACTTTGTCAATGTGGATGCAAATATTAAAAAAATTTTTGGTACTTTATTCAGTTATTGGGAAGCATGTAGGAAACAAGTTGGTACACGAATCTACTTTTTCACCTGTAAATTTTATAAAATCTAAGTACAGATCAAGTATTCCTGATGAAAATCTGACATCCAAATTGAAACATCCTGTAAGTATAAAATACGCAGTGGATTTCAAAAATGTCAAGAGTATCTCATGATCTGTTTTACCTGCAAGAAAGCCTCTCCTAGGAGAGAGACAGAACAGCAACAGGGCCAGGGGCTATGTATAACACTGCAGGCCACGGTACTAGGAAAGCACTGCAAGAGCGACCAACTATTCATTTCCTGTCAATTTTTAAACTGGATGGAAGTTGTGAACTAACACGGGGTTGAATTCACCTGGCAAAGTATTTTATTTGGCATGTGCAAGGTGATTAAAATTTAAATTTTGTGACCTCTGACTTCATTGCAACCAGAGGAAATAACGGGTTTAGACAATAATTACATCACATAAAACCCAGAAAACCAGATACCATGGGCCTCTTCACATCACCTGTGAAGCATTCTTGCTCCCCAGCACACGCCCTGCCATTTGAACCTGAATCTGAACAAGCCTCCTGATCCAATTTATAAGAAAGCAGGAATTTCAGAAATCTCAGGAACAGAGAAACATTAAATACCATGGGAGATGCCATCAGAAAATTGAGACCAAGAGAAACTCTGCAAGTCAAAGGACATGTTTTTCATGCATGAAGTAAAAAAGAACGGGGGCTATCCATTAAAAGGGACTTAAATATCAACCAATTACAAAGCGTGGTTTTTCTTTTTGATACTGATTTATAACAAACTTTAAAAAAAGAAGGAGGGTCAACAAGGAATGATTAGAGGGAAAAATGCGCAGGAAAATCTGAACACTGACTGGTTACTTTGAAATGTTTGGAATTTGCTTAAAAATAGAATTGGGAGGACTTCCCCGGTGGCCCAGAGGTTAAGACTCTGCGCTTCCACTACAGGGGGCATGGGTTTGATCCCTGGTCGGGGAACTAAGATCCTATAAAAATAAGCAAGTAAATAAATAAAAGTAAATGCATAGACAGTCATAGAACAGACATCTAATAAGGTGCCAGATCTAATTAAAATTTAAAAAAATAGAATTGGGGATGTAGGGGGGAAGATGGAGGGAGAAAGCAGTACAGATAAAACAAGATCAAAAGACTGGTCATGAGTTGGTAATTATTAACAAAAGGTGAAGAGTACATGGGGATAGAATAAATCCCTTTTATGTGTTTTGAGATTTTCCATAAAATAAAAGAGTTTTAAACGTTTCAATACCTGTGTACAGGATTAACAGTTCTCCCCTGTGCCTTCCACTTGGTATCCCCACTTAGACTCCCCACCCAGCCCCTGAAGGCACTTTGGGTGTGAAACCTTCCAAGGAGCCCCTCGCAGCTGTTTCTCAGACCTCTGAGAATGTTCAGCCTTTCTTCAAGCCTTCAATTGTAGCCACCCTTTCTTCTATCCCCTTCACACCCAATCTACATGGTAAATTTCCACCCTTTTCTTTGCTTTCAGACTTGTGGCTCATTTCTTGCTCAAACGTAGTAGATTCCTCTGGAAATTAGAACAATCAACTCAAGCCACGCCCTCCCCAAGCCCAAGCACCATAACACCTAGGGGCCACTGTCTTGTTTCTGCGTCAGCAGCACGGCAGGAAGCCCCACGTCTGTCCTGCACTCTTGGGTGCTGTCTATGCCTAAAGAATAAGACTGTACCAAGGGACTTCCCTGGTGGTGCAGGGGTTAAGAATCTGCCTGCGAATGCAGGGGACACAGGTTCAACCCCTGGTCTGGGAAGATCCCACATGCTGCAGAGCAACTAAACCCGTGCGCCACAGCTATTGAGCCTGCGCTCTAGAGCCTGCGAGCCACAACTACTGAAGCCCGCACGCCTAGAGCCTGTGCTCCACAACAAGAGAAGCCACCACAATGAGAAGCCTGAGCAACACAACGAGGAGTAGCCCCTACTCGCCCCAACCGGAGAAAGCCCGCACACAGCAACAAAGACCCAACACAGCCAAAAATAAATATATATATTTTTTTAAATTAAAGAAAAAAAAGATCATACCGAGCGCATCGTCATCATCAGTGGTATCGCTTGCCAGCCGGAACAGGGTGGGCCGCAGCTTTTCACACCTCTCATACACTACCTACAAAACAGAGCTTGTTATATAAATTCTCAGTAAGTGTGTTATAAAAAAAGAAAGATCTCAAGATGTGTAAATGTGAAGAAATGGGAAATCTCTACACTGCTTTCAGAAGTACAAAATGATACAAACACTCTGGAAAATAGTTTGCCAGTTTCTTAAAGAGTTAACTATACATGTAGCATATGACCTAGCAATCCCACGTCGAGGCATTTACCCAAGAGAAAGGAAAGTGTATGTTCACGCAAAATCCTGTATGCAACCGTTTACAGCAGGTTAATTCATAATCACCCAAAGCTGGAAACAACCCAAATATCCATCAACAGATGAATGGATATACATATGGTGGTATATGCATACAATGGAGTACCACTCAGCAGTAAAAAGGAATAAACTACTGGGACCTCCCTGGCGGTCCAGTGGTTAAGACTCTGCGCTCCCCAGCATAGCACAGGAAGATCAGCTCAGTGCTTTGTGACCACCTAGAGGGGTGGGATAGGGAGGGTGGGAGAGAGACGCAAGAGGGAGGGGATATGGGGATATATGTATACATATAACTGACTCCCTTTGTTATGTAGCAGAAACTAACACACCATTGTAAAGCAATTATACTCCAATAAAAATGTTACAAATGATAATAATAATAATGAACACTGCTTTGCAATCGAAAAGAAAAAAAAGACTCCATGCTCTCAAAGCAGGGGCCATGGGTTTGATCCCTGGTCAGGGAACTGAGACCCCACGTGCCAAGCGGTGCAGCCAAAAAAAAAAGAATGGGTCTCGGGTCTCAAATAATAACGCCAAGGGGGAGAAGAGAAGCCAGACCAAAAAAAAAAAAGTGTAATACTGTATCATTCCATTTATATAAGAGTCTAGGAAATATATACTAATCAGAACAGAAAACAAATCAGTGGTTGCCTGGGGATGGGGAGAGAGGCAGGAACAGAAGGGAAGGGAATGAGGAAGTTGGGGGCGGGTGAGGGACATATATTTTGATTGTATGATGAATTCTTGAAATATATTTGTATTCCTAGTATGTCAGTGATACTCAGTGCCACCTGAAATTTAGTTTTAAAAAGAGTACCTGCAAGGCTGCCTGGTCTGGCGGGGCCTGCCCTGGCCTGCGGTACATGCTCAGCATTTCCTGCAGCACCTTCACGTGGCTCCGTACCTCCTCCACAGCACTGACTCTCTTGGACACCTTTTCTGATTTTTCTTGCTCCTTTTGGGAGAAAGAGGATGAAGTGAGGGAGTAGAAGCTCTGAAGAAAGCCTGAACAAGCGCCGGGAAAGGGGCGCTGCACTGTGGAGAGCTCAGGGAAGCCACCAAAACACAGACTGAATGGAGTGTTCACTCAGCAGGTAGAGAAGATGCTCAAGGCCCGGAATTCCTGGGACAGACAATGCAGTTTGGGGAGCTGGGACTACTCCTTTGTACCACCAGCCTTAATCCCTCTGGAAAAGAAATTCCCAAACCTGGATTCTATCCACACCAATACCGGTCACTGGGACGGGAACTGGTGTCTGTGAAATGCTTTGAGTTCCTAGACAGAAGTACTAGAGAAACACACAGCAGTTTCTGCTTCCAGTCACCACCTCGCTGCCCTTCAGGAAGCCCACAGCTGTTCCCCGGTTCAGGGCTAGGCGGCCATCCCTTCTCCCAGACAACTGTGTACCCACATCCTCAAGCACACACACACATATACACTGTCCAGCCCCTGTCAAGTGCTGCTTCTGCAGAACTCCCTGGAAAATGCCCACCTCCTTGACCAAATTCTTGATCAGCCGGTTTGCAGCCTGAAGATCCTCAGGATGGTTGCTCTTCAGAAGCCTTGTCAGAAGCTGAAGAGGGAACAGGACTAGGTGAAACCAATTCCCTCTGTGTCAAACGGCCCAGACCGATAGCACCAGCAATAGCAGAATCTGCACTAATAACAGCTCGCACATTCTATACGCATTACCTTACCAAATCCTCACAACGACACAGTAACCTAAGGATTATGACCATCCCCACAGACCACGGGTTTTTGCATGGGGTAGGGAGGTGGATGTCCCCAGGGAACCTCTGGCAAAGTCCGCAGACATTTTCGGTTGTCACAACTGGGGGTACTCCTGGCATCTAGCGGGTAGAGGGATACTGTACACACTCTATCCTACAGTGCCTAACGACCTCCAACAAGAAAGCTAACTGGCCCATAATGTCAACAGTGCCAAGGCTGTCTTGGACCGCATACTATGATGTGACAGACCTTGGCGATCTCGTCCACATTATTCCCAAAAGGTATAGGAGTCACTCACTCTTTGTTGGATGGGTGGCAGGACAGGTGGAGATACTGAGTGCCAGAGAGTCTAAGCAGCTGACACAAGACTACCCTTCTCAGAAGTCCATGCCACACCTCCTCCCCTGTTCCTCCCACCCTCTGCAATGGTGAAGCACCCGTAGGAGAGGAGCCAGAGGGAAAGCCGCCCAGAACCCAGCACAGCCCTGCTCATTCTGCCCACAGTGAGCACCTAGATCCAAGGGAAGAGTACAGCTGACAGTTGCAGTTGGAAGGCAGAGGGGTACCAGGAGAGACCCATCCTCGGACTGGAGTCTTCCTGGTTCTACACTCCCCAGACCTTGTGAGGGACCAAGAACGCTAATGACCAAAAGCACTGCCACCTTTCAGGGGCACCCTGGAGTTATCCCTGGGTCTTGGCCTAGGTTTGGACCACCTTGCTTTTCCCTTCCCTGTCCTTACTGATGTCTGAGGAGCAACAGTTCTGGGAGACAAAAATGGAGGGAAAATGGGTGAGATCACGCGTACTGACACTAAAAAGATCTGAGCCAACATACAACCAATTCGGTACTGCCCACTCTCCTTCCCCGACACCACACTCTGGATATGACCGACCACCCACGTTACCCACTAGGGTTACCCTTCCATACCTCCTTTCCCTCAGGAACACTGAACGGATAAAGTGAAAGATATAAAGAACAGGACACTTATTATTTGGCCTATCCACAAAGAAAACATCCAGACCTTCAGCTACCTCTCCCTGCTCCACAGGGAACTCAAAACCCACCTCCCCACACTCTCCCACACTTTGGTTCGGGGTCAGGGGACATTGCAAGAGAGTCCCTAAAAGAAGGGATCTGCGGGGGTGGGATGAATTGGGAGATTGGGATTGAGATATATACACTAATATGTATAAAATGGACAACAAATAAGAACCTGCTGTATAAAAAGGTAAATAAAATAAAATTCAAAAATTCAAAAATTCAAAAAAAAAAAAAAAAAAGGGGTCTGGTCAGGCTCCAGGAAGACCACCAAGGTCAGGGAGAAACTCCTTACCTTTGACTTTTCTTCATCGGCATCAAAGATGGAGCTCTTGGGCCAGGGAGAAGGTGGGGGCAAGATTTTATCCACTGGTAGTTTAGGGTCTTGCTTTATGATTCCTAAAACATGCAACAGCTCATGAATATACGGATATAGGTACCCATTGACTTTAGCAGGATCCAGTATAAAGCCCGGAAACCCCTGGTTCCTGATGTCCCACCAGGAAAACACTGTCAATGATCTTACAGAGATACACCCAGGGTATGATCAAGGCTCTGCATCCTCCCTTGGGAGAATCCATGGAACCAGTACAAAGTTGGGGAGGTCAGAGCCAACTAAATCAGAGCAGAACCGGACCGTAAGGCTAGTGGTCAACGGGCCTTACACTATACAAATACTGATCATTTTATGCAGGTATACAACCTCCCAGAGCCCAGAAATTAGTGTAGAATCCCTAATACTCCTAAAAATGTTAAGTGAGTGCGTGCGACAGGGAGAAAAATAGTCCATGCTGAATCCAGGCTCCTCCCACAGAGCCCAAGAGAAAAGGAACATGGACTCCCAGCTTCTACACAGGACACACTCTGGGGCTCACAACACGAGAGGAATAGGCTCATTCTCCAAAGGCCTCACAAAAAGAGAATGGGAAAGGCCTCATGGCCCACTGAAATCCTTCTCTCGCGACAGAAAAGCCTCACACTGCTGGGGGAAGGACACCAAACCTGTTGTCCTTAGAACAGTGGTGAAAACCTACTGCAGCTGGAAAAAAAAGAAAAGAAAAGCCTGTGCCCCTGGGGGAGGGGCAGCAACGTGTCCCGGCCCAGACCTGAGTCGGGATGGGACAGCATCACAAATAGGTCCCACCAAGACCAGGGACACATGCCTGCCTGAGACTGAGGCTTACTCACAGCAGAACCAGCACCACCACCATCAGGCTACGGGCACTGAGGAACAAGTAGTAAGGGTCTACTGTCAGGAAAGGCGATGGAATAAGACCCCCTCTGAGGTGTAGAGCAAGAGGAAGACCCAAAGCTGAGAGTAGAGCAGATACTGAGAGAAACGCTCTAGCAAGTCAGCCTCCACCCTCAACACAAGCTAACACTAGAGGAATCTGGAACCTGGCATAGTGAGGGTAACTACAGCAACAACCATCTCAAACCTAGCTCAAGTCCCGTCAACCCGGAGGAACCGTCTGCCCATTTCCAGGGATCAAAATTACTGTGTCGGCCTCTATTGTTGTATCTACAGGACACAAGATCTCCAGCTTTCACCCCAAACTAACAAAGTGTACAAAAAAGCAAGAAGGAACAACTACTGTGAAAAGGGCATGCAACGTAAGTAATGGTAGTGAGACCTTGTTTCTTCAGCATCTGGTAAGCATCTCGGATCTTGATGTCTTCTGGAAACCAGACTGTCCAACTGAAGAGTATTTCAATGACTCTGCCTTTAACTTTTTCTGTGGTCCAGGAGCCTAGGTACTGAAAAAGGAAAGGGAATTACAGAGCTGGAAGGGACTTGGTGAGACAGGAGGGAAGGCGGCAAGACGTAACCTTTAGAGAATGACACAGCTGTTGAGAATACGACATAAACTGGTTAGAACCGATTAGGCCCAAGATGGTGTAAGATTTGACTTCCACTAGACCTTGAACTTCAGTATACGCTCATTGTAATACATTAGCTGAACGACACACCCACAGGTGCCATGACCGTTCAGAGGCTGACCATAAAAGGCCAGAAAGTGAGCAGTGGCCCAGTTTCTGGAAATCTCTGCTCCTTCCCCAAAATAGCTGGAATAATCCTCCCACTCGTTAGCCTATGAAATCACCCAACCCATAAAAACTAACCACCCCATATTTCAGGACTGCTGTCACCTTTTGAGACATTCTACCTTTGGAATGTATATCTCTCTAAATAAATCTGTTTTCCCACTTAGTTCTCGGGGCAGAGCCGCCTTGCCTGCACACTTGTATCCCTCAGAGCCATCCTATATTAATAAATCTACTTCTTGTCTATCACTTTGCCTCTTGCTGAACTCCTTCTGTGCAGAGACATAATGAACCTGAGCTTCAGTAAGTCCTGGCACCAGGTGATTGATTTTAATTAAAAGGCAGTGGGTTTGGGACTTCCCTGGTGGCGCAGTCGTTAAGAATCTGCCTGCCAATGCAGGGGACACGGGTTCGAGCCCTGGTCCGGGAAGATCCCACATGCCGCAGAGCAACTAATCCCGTGCGCCACAACTACTGAACCTGTGCTCGGGAGCCTGCAAGCCACAATTACTGAGCCTGCATGCCACAACTACTGGAGCCCGCACACCTAGTGCCCGTGCTCTACAACAGGAGAAGACCGTGCACCGCAACCAAGAGTAGCCCCCGCTCTCCACAACTAGAGAAAGCTGGTGCACAACAACGAAGACCCAATGCAGCTGAAAATAAACTAATTAATTAATAATAATGATATAAAAAAAAAAGACAGTGGGTTTGAGTCCCAGCCCGTGCGTTCAAGTCCCAATCTGAGTTCTGGCTGGGTTCAAATCCCATCCCAGTTGTGCAGTTTCATTAGTAGACTGCCCAGCCCACACTATCACTAAAGAGATGGCGGCTGAGGCCCAGAGAAGTGAGCTGCCCAAGGCTGGTAGAGAGGTGAGGCACAGCTAGAAGACAAATTACCTAGCACCCATTTCCAGGGCTCTTTCTGGGTTTCAAAGAGTCAACCTATAAAGCCACTAAAATTAAATCCTACCATATATTGGCCTAGGTTAGAGCCACTGGGGACACTCATTATTTGACTGTGGCAAGTCTAGAATAAAAATGTATTTGGAATGAAAATAAGGTAAAGTGAAAGGAACTGCTGAAACTCAAATGTTTTGAATCATTATAAAAGATCCTCTTAAAATTAAATAAAAGGATTATGGAAATAAAATATATATATACATATACATATACATATATATATATATATACATATATATATATATATATATATATATATATATATATATATATATATATATATA